ATTCGTATATTGAATATTGTATATTTTAATATTTAATATACCTAATAATATATTGAATATATATTTATATTGTATCATTTAAAATAATTTTATAATAATTTATGTATTATTGACTATTGTATATGTAATATGTTGTTTCATTATAACATTTTATTATTATATCGATTATTATTATATTTTATTACATTTAGTATTATTGTATCAATTATTTTGAAACAATTATCAGTATATGTTCGACTGTCAATCGTTAGGTACACAAATTAAATTTCTTTTCGGCGATTCAATCGTCCATAAGCACGCTGATAATTACTAATTTAAATATTTATAATGTAGACCTGAGGGCTTAAAATTTGTTAGGCCTTAATGACATTAATATAATAATAAATAAATAGGTACCTWTAATAGGTACTATATTTTTATATCATGGCATTAGATACTAGACTTAAACAGACCTATGTAGAGTATTATCGGGGAAGATTTAATGATATAGATTATTTTTATTTATGTATATCAATAACACTGCAGCAAGCTCAGTTGACATCCTATTGAAAAACACTTGAAAACCACCACTATATACTTACTGTAGCTGTCGACTCTTGACATGGGTGACAATCGCTTTGAGTAGACCGATACAATTATTGCAGGTAATATTAAAAAAGTTAAATTACATTTACCAATAGATTTGTAGAACCAAGAGACACATCCACATAGTTTCTTGCTGATGTCCATTCGACATTGAACCATGCAAGCACTAAACGTATAGTTGGAGTCTGTTAATAACGATATCTCATCTGGAAAAACGCATTTCCTCTGCTTTATCGTTAACTGTCGAGCGCCTTCAGTGGTGTACGTTTGTTTGCTATTAAAAAATATTTTTGCTATCCTCTTGGTCCACAGGTGTTGCGGTAACGAGTCTACAATTAACATATCGTCCACGCTGTGTATGAATACCTGCCGAATCATTGGCGATAAAATTACAGTGAGTTTATTTTAGAATAAATGTACTTATGACACTTATATAATTAAATACCGAGTATTTGCTATACGAAGACTGGAGGTATTCTGGAGGATGCACAAATGCATTGGTAATATGGTAGTTAGAGGGTGCTAYGGGTGGATCACTTTTATCAATAAAATCGTAAAAATAAAATAAAATTAATCGATTCATTTTTTTAAATAAATGATAAAAAAAAATTCAGACCCATAGATGCACCAAAACCATTTCATCCCAAGAATTGTACCTCCTCTACTTGACGAGTTTTATTTAAATACGCTTAAATGRGTTGAGGTAGGTTTAAGGAATATCGTGATAAATAAACACCTACTATTATATACCTTATATGCAATAGGTAAGTCGTATGTAGCTACTTTAATTTATTGTGATTTTCGTACATGCACGTGATTCTTATTACCTTTAACGGGTTTTTAGTTACGTTGTCCATGTTAAACGAAATTGTCAGTTTGTTGTCCGTTTCGAAGACGTATTCTATGCTAGCCTTTGAATAATTTTCAGACATCCTGTCAACCGATCAATAAAATAAATTCAATGGTGTTAATAACTCACGTTATATTTATTAATAAATATGTACGCGAAATCACTGAAATGCATATATTGTGAAAAACGTCAACTGCATTGGGTGGCATTATTATATTACCATGGCCAATCCGGTACCACGTGTTTAGCATTGAAACTATAACAAWATCCGTATTCAGTGAACACTGGCTCAAACCCCAAACAGCAGTTGTAAGGTTCGCCTTTGAACGTGCAGTCGTATAGTAAGTCCTCGCAATGATACACTACCTGTGTGTCAATTATTTTTCAATAGTTATTAGTTAATTATATCTATAGTAACTAGTTTGTAATAGAATAAAACGGAATATTACTTGGTATGCTAAATCTTTGAATGTATCCTTTGGTAGCCAATCGTATTTARAAAATTGCTTAAACGATTGGACGTTATCGTAYGAGAACGACGCAATTTCGTTAACAAACTTTAAAAATATCTCAACACGCTCATTTTCCGTGTTATTGTCGTAGACACTAAGAAAAAATATAAATTTAAAATTGTATTATATAATAGTATACACATATATATAATAACGAAAATAAATTTTTTCATATTTAGAAATGGTAAATGGAAATGTGACATAWATGTGGTATAATTAAGAACAATCACTTATGTTTTATTATTTTATATTTTAAATAATTATTGTGCAATCAATCAAAATTCGTATACCTATTATTGTTTATTTGCAATCTTAAGTGCTGAAATGATTATCAGATTAATCTATTTTCTATACCTAGTGGCTAGTATTCAACTTTTCGCAGTACAGTACAGTTCAAAATTCAAATAAATAAT